TTTATCTATGCTATGCTAAAATTCGCTATGTTTTACGGATTAGGAGATCCTCTCCTTCCAGGAGAACTGATGATGCTCAAGCATCTGTGAGGTTTATTCAATCTCCTACTCCTAAGCCTGCAATTTACCCTAGATTAGAGATGGACTCCTCCACAGGAATCTTGTCCATTCGCTGATCACTTTCTGAAAAGGAAATTCGGCTGGAAGAGACAAACAAAAAAGAAAATTGAAGGCCAGAAATTCTTTTTACAATTTCTCTTATTGCCTTTTTACCCATATAAAAACGCGGGTACGAAAAATGGCACTCTCTTTCTTTAACGCGATTTTATATTTACGCGTTCAACATCTCTTTAAACGGATTATTGTCCTCAAGGACCAGTTGTTCTTCCTTCTTCTCTTCGACGGTCTTATCCGCCTCTTCCAGCCCCAGCAGATCCTCCACTGGTTGGGCTTCCGGATCCTGCTGATCCTCCGGCGTCAGCATCCGCACCAGTTCCCTCATGTACGATGACTGTACAGAAAAGACAAAAGGAAAAAGCCCCAAGCAAAGCATCAAAAAATTATTGCATGCGTTGTTTTGTAATTACAGGCTAATCATTTACCTTGTCTAAATGTTGAGACTCTTGGGGACCTAGCCCTGATATCTGCATAGTTCTGAGAGAAAACTTCAAATTCCTCATCATCAGAATCTAGCCCATTAAAAAATATATTGGGCATAGATCCTACTATGCATTCCTTAACTTTGGCTTTATCTAGCTTCAAAATTCTTTTCTTTCTCTGTTTTTTAAATGCATGCACAAAAAGCAAAGCAAGCACAAAAGCAGAAAGCATTGTTAATCATTTTTATTAAAAAAGCAAAAGAAAAAATTGGCTAACCTTGTTCCTGATGAATTTGACGAGCCAAACCAAAAAGACAGCCAAAGTTGTAGCCCCGGCACCTCCAAGGCCCATGAAGACCAGAACCATGGCCGTCCACGGGTCCACGTCCGCTTCGACGTGCGCAACACCATGTTTGATGTTGACCGTCACCTCCGGCGTCGACGATGGTGCCCTGATGACGTACGGCACCTCTGGGGCCACTACGACGCTCTGCTGCGTCGAGGGTGGCGCCCGAGCCACGAGCGGCGTTTTGCTCGCCGGCACGTGGACGACCGCCAAGTTGGCCGTCGGCGCTACTAGGCGAGGCTCATCTGTATATACAAAAATTTATTTAGAAATTGGTGACGGAAAAGATTTTTTTTTGTTTGTGTGGTAAACAGGATACAGGTGTTGGTTATATGTTATGTTGTTGTGAGCATGTCATGTGAGTTGTGTTTTGAAATGATTATGTTCGTGTGGACAAGCTGACAAAAACAAACTCACCAACCACCGGCGGAACTGCCGCCGTCGAAATTTCCGGCTCGGGTGGCACGACTTCCTCGCACCACCTCCAGGGCGTCACGACACGATCCATGTCGACTCGACGCCCGACGCAGACCGTTGGCGACATCAGCTTCACCTCCTTCAGAAAACGGGAAGCTGTCATTTCCACCTCACCAAACAATATCTAAAAAACTCACCTTGAGATCCGCCTGACGAACGCAGTCCAGGAACAGCGTCGACCCGACGAACGTCACCCGACGTCCGTAGCCGCCAGCGTCAGGAAGCTGTTATTTCCACCTCACCAAACAATATCTAAGAAACTCACCTTGAGATCCGCCTGACGAACGCAGTCCAGGAACAGCGTCGACCCGACGAACGTCACCCGACGTCCGTAGCCGCCAGCGTCCCGCACCTCTTCTCCGCAAACGTCCCGACACTTGAAGACGCCGTCCTCGGGACCGCAGTCCGCACCAGCAGCAGCCGCACCGACGATCAGCAACACCAGCAGCCTCAGGAACGCCATCTGTGAACATTTCAAGAAAACACTATTATTTCTGAAAGAAAATTATTTTTTTTTAACTCACTTTTCACTTGAAAAAACTTCTTCTTGACGAATTGGAAGATTCCCAGCAGTACAAAATCACTCAGCAAACGAACGATTCGCGAAACAATGTTTGAGGCCACCAGCTCCAGGAGACCCATCAACTTTTGTCGACTCCTGGAGACAGGAAGTCGTTAACGACGCGTCCGCGTCCGAGACGAAAAACGAAAAGTTAAGTCGACCCGACGAACGTCACCCGACGTCCGTAGCCGCCAGCGTCCCGCACCTCTTCTCCGCAAACGTCCCGACACTTGAAGACGCCGCCCTTGGGACCGCAGTCCGCCCCAGCAGCCGCAACACCGACGACCAGCAACACAAGGATCCTCAGGAACGCCATCTGTGAATATTTCAAAAAATTTGTTAATTCTGAAAAAGAAATTTTTTTTGGGACTCACTTTTCACTAGCTGAATTTTCTTCTTGATGAAGTTGAAGATCCCCAACAGCAAGAAATCACTTAGCAAACGAACGATTCGCGAAACAATGTTTGAGGCCACCAGCTCCAGGAGACCCATCAACTTTTGTCGACTCCTGGAGACAGGAAGTCGTTAACGACGCGTCCGCGTCCGAGACGAAAATCGAAAAGTTACGATCAGAAAAATTTGAAAAAAATAAGTTAAGGTAACAACACTCACCAAAGACTACCGCCAAAATTTCAGGCCCAACGGATCATCCGTTAACGAA